CAGTTATGGAAACATTCATTTGAGACAGAATGTTAGTCCCTATGATAGCCTTGAAACTCGACGCTTCCGTAGGAATCACGTGAAACTTCAATTTTACTTCCTCATCATTTACTAACACATCTTGACTAAACGATCCCAGAGTTTCAATCCTATTGTGACCAATTCCTTTTATAAAAATCGTATCTTCATCCAGTGAAATATTCATGAGATTTTCATCGTAAACGTCCTTTCTTATTCCGGAAATATCGCTACCTGTATCTAATAAGGCTGTCAACAATATTCCTGAAATTCTTAATTGGACTCCATTCTTTGGTATAGCTTCAATAACATTCATCGCTGAATTTCCAGCCGAAGCATTAACATTTTTCTTAGGACACTTGGTGGAAATATGCCCAAAGGCATTACAGTTAAAACATTTGACGCCTTTTGTTTTGTCTGGACCGTCACTGGATTTATGACCTTGTCTGCCACAATTAAAACATTTCATTAGTTTTCCAGTTTTCTTTTCTTCGTTATTAAAATTTTTGCGAAACTTTGTTCCCTCAACATTCCTGTCCTGATTTCTTCTATCCATAAATTTGGTTGTAGTTTTCTTCGCTTTGATCTGATCATACAATTTTATCTTCTCCTTAAAATTATTAAGAGTTTTAGCTCCATATAACGCTATTTTGTCTGACGTTTCATCTTGAATGCCATCTATAATATATTGTATAATTACCTCTGGCTCCAAAAGTATTTGACTACCAATTTCTCGCATTATTAGTGCATATTCTTGCACTGTTTCGGTATGATATTTCTTTCTAGACATAAGTCGTTTATGCACTTGCGCGCTACTGACTTTTATTTCAAATTCAGCTAGTAATTTTCTTTTCAACGTTTTCCAGGATTTAATGCCACTTTCTGACTGTATGAAAAGCTTCGCTAAACCTGTCAAAGACTTTTTAGCAAATATCAATTTCTGTAGATCATTCCAACCGGTGACATCGGCAAGTTCTTCGAAGTCTGCGATCCATTTCTTAATAGGATAGTCATCCTTACCACTGAATGATCTGATGCTCTCTTCCACATCACGGAACGTCAATGCAAAATAATGATCTGTCTTCTTTGTTTTATTTGTTTTTAGCCGTCTTGCTAAATCTGCTAGAGTTTCTTGATCGTCATCCTCACCTTCTTCTTCTTCTTCGTCGTTGTCGTCTTCAACTTCATCTTCGTCAAGTTCTTCCTCGTCATTGATATTTCATTCAAATTCGTTCAAAAAATCACATACGCGATCGGCCACTTCATTCTCTTCACCACTATAGTCTAAATTCAAAATATTACACACTGCTATTAAATCACTCAAATTTAACTGTTGTTTAACTTCATTCACTTTCTTCACATACTCGTCCGACTGTGTATCTAATTGAAAACCCGAAAATTTACGTACCTGTTTCCTAGCTAGACGCGGAGGACCTTGTTGACCATACGCGGCTGTGTGTAAAGCTTGAATAGTTTTAAGTTTAGCCCCTGTAATATTATGTTCAATTTTCTCAATAGCACCCAAAGTAGCCATTTTGTTATTGAAAAAAACAAACTTCAACCCTTATAATCAAAAAAAACAAAACTCGAAGGTAAATAAATCACCCTTAAAACCTTTTAACTCAAAACGTGGCCGTGAGTCGAAAAAAAATAAAGTTGATAATAAAATGCATTTCAATATTTCACTAACTTTCAGTAATATACACCACATATCTACATAATAATATACATAAAAGCCACAATCAATAATAATTATAAAATGTTTCAAATATTTTCATGTCAAAACTTTCAACAAATGTAATTTAGCACTCAAAATCTAATCTAATAATCAGTTCGTTCAATTTTTTTTTTTCTTTATCAAGTTCAAAGTTAAAATCACGTTGAAGAGTCAAAGAGTGCACTTTTAAAAAAACAAATGCCATTCACCAATAAATAAAAATGTTAGATCCTACCTTGAATGTTCATTCAAACCACTGTCGATTGTTTTTTTTTTTTCTTTGCAAGCAATACAGTCTTCGCATGGACTATAGGTATCAAACTATACTTCAACTTGTTGCATCTTCTATGTCGTCATTTACTCGTCGTAAACCATATTATTGTTTCTTCTTCTGCGTCGTTTCCAAATTGTCAACTTTCTGAAATCTAACTTTGTCCTTCGTTGTTTGCGTCCAGTCCCACTGTGTGTGTTTTATCTATTTCTATCTATTTTTATCGGCTTCATCCCGGACGAGCCCCCAAAATGTAGGATTTTTATCGTTGTCTAGGGGTATTTTGGGGCAAGCAGAAAATCAAACGTAACGGTCCATTGAAAATATAAGGAATTTTAATAATATTTACGAAGAATAGATAGATTAGATGGTAGATAAATACGTCATTGATAAATATACAATTGGCACGGAAAATCACAATAACAACTTCACAACTAAGTATAGGTACGTCTTCACGACCACGTCTTGGTCGTTTTACGGCTTAAGAAATATTCGTCTTGATAATTAATTGAACGTCGCGTCTTAAATTTACCCCGTCTAGGAAAAATCTGGCGGCCGTCTTCCGCCTTCAGCGTTCAATTAACGATTGACCCCTCTTTTTAATATTATTCGTTCGTGGCTACTTCCCCACTGGCGCCGTGCCATTCGGTGCTACCCTGTTACCGTCGCGAGTCGCTCCCGCTCGTATCTTTTATCCTCTTCTATCAACTTATATAGAGATATTCCCTTTTCGTCGCCCTGTTGCTACCCTGAGATCCAGCGCGCCTCGCCTATTCAACCGTGACGGTACAGTCTATATAAAAATAAATAGGTACAGTCGGAAGAGAATTATTTGGAGAAATGAAGAAATATAATATTTACATAATTACAAACGGAAAAAAATACTTATACCTATAAATACAAACACAGATACCGATTAGGTTTCGTACCCTACATATGCATCACACATTTGGATGCCATTGGAAGTCACGCATATTGATGAAATTGAAAAAGTGCAGAAGAGATTTTTGCGGTATCTCTATGTGGTTAAAAATAATATTCACCCATATATGGTTCCTTACAGGGATATGCTTGTTAGTTTTGAGATAAAGTCATTAGTGGAAAGAAGGAATAATCAGGCTGTGATATTTTTGTTTTATATTTTAAACAACCTAAAGTATAAGGATTGTAATTTAATTATCTATGTCTCCTTAATTGTACCAAAGATTAACTTAAGAATTATGAAAAACAAGAAATACTTTGGTACTGATCCTAGTAATAATGTCACCATTTAATCGCATGATGACAGTTGCGAACCAAGCACTTAATGAAGTCCAGGTAGATCTTTTTAATGTAACGTTAAATCAATTGAAGGCCCTTTTAAATTAGTCACATATGTTTATATTGTATACTCTATCTTTATTTTTGTGTTTTACACTTCGCTGTTTTGACTTTACATGTAATTACTATTTTTGGTGTTTGTAAAGTAATGAAATAAATAAATCAAGAAAAAAAATTAAAGATCTCTCGTGAAAACCGCAGTCCTATATTCAAAAACTAGTTTCCGAGGAAATTCCTTGTGAAGATAAATTATGCAGGTACTTGTGATATCACAACCGCCAAAATCGCAGTCTTCTGTTCGTTCAGTGGTCAGTGAACCGTACTCTCCATCGTACCCTATACTTGGGTGGTTGCAATTCGCTCTAGTGAAATAATTATCTTTTGTTTTGGAAAATGTTACGCGTGTTAATACTGTGCCTGATAATTCGGTGTGACGTCACAAACACCTAGCTGTAACTCGAAGACGGACCATGGTAGTAAGATCCGGTATAAATATTTATTCTCAGATCTTTCGTGAAAACGGGAGTCCTAAATTCAAAATTGTTTCCGAGATAATCCCTTATGAGGATAAATTATGCGGAAAGTTCTGACGTCACACCGGCTAACCGCCGAAATCGCAACCGTGAGATCGTTGACCGAGTCGACTTTTGTTGTGCAAAATTTTACACGTACTTATTTTAACTGTGCCTGTGAAGCCGGTGTGACGTCACAGCCGATGCGTTCGTCACTTTAAACCGCCCCAACCTGAAAACGGTTCATCGTAGCAAGAATCAACAAGATGCGATTTAAATATTTATTCTTAATTTTTTTTGCGTTAAAACTTTCTTCTTTGGGTCGCTTTAGGCTTCAGCCATTATGGGATGGGGCGGCAAATTTACTCTTCGCCCAGGGCGGCACAATACCTAGAGCCGGCCCTGGTTCCAAGTCAATGCGAAAAACTTTAATAAACTCTCGATTAAATGTAGCGTCTGAGCTTGGTTTTCAATAAACCTTCATTATTGTCTATAATGATGAAGATAATTTGTTTTGATTGTGTGTATGGCATTTGATTTTCTCTTTGTTTAGTTGTTTTGTAATTCAAATTTTAAGACACATGTTTGATTTCTGCTATGGACTACATTTTTGCACTTGTGACTCAAGCTTGTATCTACCTATATTTTCATACACCCTTTATGGTATAACTGGCCGACGAAAGGACTTTTCTCGATTCTTTCGATCTATGATCTAATGTAACAGACATCACATTCAATCGAAAGTGATAAAGCTCTGAAAATTTTGAATCTGAAAATGCTGGAGAAAATTGATTGGAATTGAAGTAATTTAATTTAAGAGGCATATTTTTTCTGCGATTGACAAGAAATTTCAGCATTTTTGACCGGTTGACAGGTCGCAAAACTCAATTAGGTTTCAATAGTTGCTTAGGAATCAATGAATAACAATACGGGAAACACTTTTCCGGCCTAGGCAACAAACATTTAACAGGTATTTAACCGATCGCAGAAAAAATAGTATGTGTATTTCGGTGGAAAAGCACATTCTCGGCCTTCGGTATTAAACCGTCGGCCGAAAATGTGTCACTTTTCCACCTAAATCCACAATATACTAGTGTATCAATTCTATTCCAATGTTAATTCTTACGAATGGAAACATCTAACACCTGACATTTCTTTACAGAATAGGCAACATGATGAAGTCAGTCGCCGCCCTACTAGCCTTTTTGGTAGTCACCCAGAAAGTCAACGCATGGGGTGGACTATTTAACAGATTTTCTCCCGAAATGCTGGCCAATATGGGCTACGGGGGACATGGCGGAGGGATAGTAAGTAGCGGAATTGATTTTGGGTTTAAAAAAATTGGTTAATAAAGGTTACTGTCTGACCTTAAATAAATTTTCGATATAAGTCCAACTCAGTACAGTTCTTAAACTTACATTTTTACCCTGTAATTTGGATGTAAATACTTCCTAAAAATATGAAATATTATGATGGGTTTCCAAATTTGCACCCAACAAGTGTTTGGTTATTTCTGTATTTATTCGAAATTTCCATTTTTTAGAGAGATGGAGGAGACGACAATTTCTTAGAAGAATACGTTAACGAAGCCGACGAGGAGCCCTGTTACGGAAAAAGGTGCACTGCGAACGAACACTGTTGTCCTGGGTCAATTTGCGTTGATGTTGACGGAGGTAAGTGTATAAACTCACTAAAATTTTAGCTGATCCCATAGGCGCTACTAGGGGGGTGCTAAGCACCCCTAAAGCAAAAATTAGCACTCCCATTCGGCATCCCACCATAGCATTACCTACAGTAGCACTACCTAAAACTAATATAAAAAATCAGTGCAACTAAATTTTTTTTTTCTAAATTCACTTTTCCGCGATTGTAAACCCACTTTTCCGCAAATATTACCTCATTTTTCCGCGATTCTTATCTCACTTTTTCACGAATTCACACTCACTTTTTTTGAAATTTTTGACTAATTTTTTTGCGATTTTTGACCCACTTTTTCGCAATTTTGTCTTCACTTTTTTGCGATTTTTGGCTCTTTTTACGATTTTTGACTCTTTTATTTGCGAATTTGTCCTTACTTTTTTTGCGATTTTAGCTTCACTTTTTTGCGATTTTACCCTCACTCCTCGGCAATTACAAACTTATTTTTCCGCTATTTCATCCTCATTTTTCCGCGATTCTTACCTCATTTTCCCGCGATTGTTTTCCTTCTTTCCGCGATTTTATCTTCACTTTTCCGCGAATTTGACCTCACTTTTTTTGTGTTTTTTGAATAATTTTTTTTTGCAATTTTTGACTCATGTTTTTACGATTTTACCATCACTTACCGCGATTCTAAATCCACTTTTTCGCAATTGTAAACCCACTTTTCTTTAAATATTATCTCATTTTTCCGCGATTTTTGTCTCACTTTTTTTTTGCGAAAAGTGAGGATAACCACTTTTCCGCGATTCCTATTTCATTCTCCGCGATTTTATCCTCACTTTTCGTGACTTCATCCTCATTTTTCCGTGAGTCTCATCCTACTTTTCCGCGAGTTTAAACTCACTTCTTTTGAAATTTTTGACTCATATTTTTTTGCGATTTTATCATCACTTTCCGCGATTTTATACTCATTTTCCCTCATTTCAAAACTACGAGAATAACTATAATTTTTGAAAAAATTATGAGAATTGCAAACATTTACGAGAATTACGGAACATGACGAGAATCACGGAATAACAAAAGATTGCGGGAATTACAAAAATTATGTGAATTGCCAAATATTACGCAAAAGAATTACAAAGTTACTCCAAAATTACGTCAATTATTTAAATATTACTAATTTTTGAAAAGTTACGAAAACTAACAAGACAAATTACGGGAATTACAAAAAATAATGGGAACTATAAAAATTTACGGAACCCAGTAAAATGACGGAAATGACGAAAATTTACGGGAATTATGAGAAATTATAAAAATTACGGGAATTGAGAAATATACGAAAAACTACGAAAATTACAAATATTACGGGAAAGAATTACAAAGTTATTTCAAAATTACGTGAATTACGGTAATTCCCAAAATAACGGAAATCATAAGTTTTTGAAATTACGAAAATTACAATAACTTAGGGAAAATTTGGAAATTAGGAGAATTGAAAATACAAATAATTACTGGAATTACGAAAAAATCACGATGGGAAAAGCGCGAAAAATTGCGGGAAGTTTTCCAAAAATTGAAAAAAATAAGGGGAAATTAGAAAATAACAAGAATTATCTGAGAAATGACAGAAATTAAAAAATTTCGAAAATCACCAAAAAAAAAAAAACGGAAATTACTAACTTACGAAAATTTCAAAAACTTAGGGGAAATTATAAAACTAACGAAATTTTATTGAGAAATTACGGAAATTAAAAAATTACGAAAATAATGGGAATTACGAAAATTTCGAGTTTTTCGAAAATTGGGGGTATTAGTATTATGAAAATAACGAGAATTATCTGAGAAATGACAGGAATTACAAAATTTCGAAAATTCCCAAAATAAAATACGAAAATTAGGGTCAATGTGGGTAATTGGAAACGATTTTCCAAATTTCGTTTATTTTAATACTCCAATGGGTTTATTAATTTATTCGTAACATTTGACCTCCAACTAAAAGCTGCATAGCCATATTGACACTTTATACAACATATTTATATATTTTTTGGTTACCTCTTAGTTACTTGTTTTCGAAATTTGGACCGTTTCCTTTTACCCCAGGATGTTAAAGAAAAAACAGAAAAGCGGGGGTAATTGTGAAGAAGTAACTTTTTGCTCTATCATAATAAAGGGATTTGTGATGGGGTAAATGGAATTATTCGCAATATTTTCACCTTTAAAGCATGAAATTGCGGGATTTGTTTTGTTTGTTTCCAATTACCCCTCATAATTAATGGGACTTTAAAGCAAACATTTTATTCAGTAAATTAAAAACTAATTCACATTCATTTGGTTAATCAATCCCTACAACATCTCTAATGAAATAAAATGTAGCAAGTAAGTAAAAAAATAACAAATATATTTTTTCTATTATTAGGAAAATGCATAAATGAAGTAGAAATTAAGCTTTTTCGAAGATATCAAGCTTTCGTGGAAATGTATAGTACAATCTCTCCCTCTTCATTAAAATAGATGGCTCTGGAGTTATTCCAATAATATCATCTACGTTTACAAAGCTAACGTCTGATTCAACTAAAGAGAAAACCCTACACGTATCATCTGCACATTTGAGAGATGTAACTTTGATTTCGCCTTCTTCCCAGTCGACGTCTTCAATCACGCACAGATATTTATAAGTCACGGTCATCCTTTTCCCGCCTTTAAAGCAGACTAATGCAAAACTTCCTTTTTTCAGGTTGCTTTTGTCCGCTGTATATAGGTCTTCAGCTCCTAGTGGGTCTTCTTCTTCTTCAAAAGGGCTGTCATCAGTTTCAGCGTATGAAAGCTCCTCCGAGCTCGAATTTGAAGAAGATGAATATGTATCCCTCTTCGATTTTTTGGCACGCAGTAATTTTATTTCAATATCCTTCCTCTTAATGATATTATTTCCGTCGTTTTCTTTATCACTTAATAGAAGTTTTTCCAGTTTCTTGAATTTACCGCCTTTTCCAGTCTTTGATCCTTTCCCTTTCTTTGTTTCTCATTCTATTCAAAACTTCTTCAGTGGTCAAGACCTCTCCATAGGCCAATTGCTTCAAGCGTGGTATAACTTTTTTGACAGGTGGTTCGGGTGGTTCCATGTCTAATACTTTCTTAACATATTGTTCAGTTGATGCCTTGAATATATTAACAATATCGTGCTTGGTGGGACTTATAAACTCCGCTGCTTTTGAGGTTGAAGGCGCGTTAATATTTTCATTAATAGTCGAAGTCGCTGTAGATGTTCCGGGTATTTCTGCTTCTAGTACGTTTGAGCTAGATAATGAATGAATATCTATATTGGCATCATCAGTATTGCCATCATCTGGATTATTTTCCAACTTAGCATTATTGTTAGCTGGATAGAGTATTTTCTCTTTGAAAAATTTCAACTACTGAGGATCAAACTCCTTTTCCGGGAATTTGGATGCATCTACTGGATATACTCCTGTGGACTGAAACCCTGAAATTATGTTTTTTGGCAACATGGCATCTTTCCAAGTTTGCGAGAGAATTTCAACAAACTTATTTTTCGACAGGCGTCCAGTGCCTTGGCCCATCATTTCTTTCCCATAGGCCACCAGTTGTTTATCCCAGATGTATTTCACTGATTTGAATACACATCTATCTAGAGGCTGTAATCTATCTGTCAGATGACTGGGAAACTTAATAAGTTCAATGTTATTTTTCAGTGCCTCTTCGATAATTTGAACACTTATATGGCTGAGATGGCCATCGTAAAGAAGCACACCTTTCTGGTTGGGTTTATTATGATCCCTACGTACTTTTTCAACGTGAGGAATAAAGCCACAAGTAATCCACTGGTGGAACTGTGGCTCTTCCATCCACCCATTTTTACTGGTTGCATAAAGAGTTCCTGGCAAAGCCTCGATTGTCACCCATCTTGCTTGAACTGCTGCCCCTTAAAAACAATGAGTGGTGGTAGATATGAGCCATCTGCCGATATACAGGCGAGTACGGTGGTGTTCTCCCTCCCTGAGCCCCCAAAAACTCGATATAAGGCTTCACCTTTTACTCCTATGGCTCTGATACGGGAAGGATCACTGTTGAAGCCAGTCTCGTCTGCGTTAAAAATAAAAGGCGCCATACGAGGCAGATCAAGTCCATTCTCGTGAATAGTCGTTTTCAACTTGTCATAAAAATCATAAATAATTTCTGGTTTTCTAGCTTCTTTTCTCAGTTTTTGTAGAAGTTCGGCCTTTTTCAGAGATAGACTGGGATTTCGTTGCATGAATGAACGATACCATTCTTCCCCTGAAATATTATCTTTGAACCTGGTTTTTATGTTTCTTGCAATCACATATTCTCCCACTCATCTCAAAAGTTCAGCTTTGTCACATGGGTATCCCATTGACGCTCGCGTTTTCAAAGCAGAAACAATATGGGTTTCTACATTGTTTGGTAAATTTTTAGGCTCACCAGCCCCCATTTTGTCCATAGGTACCTTTCGTCCTTTTATTCGGTTATAAATAACGCTTTGTGGAATTTTATAGAAATCTGCCGCCTCCCTATAGGATCTCCTTTGTTCTTTTATATCTGTCACCGCATTTTGCATCTTGCAAAGTGTATTGGGGAGGATCTCTTTTCTTTATGTATTTACGGGGCATTTTCGATGCGTATCTGAAAATAGAAGCCAAAATGTAGCAAGAAGTGTTCTCATTTATCATTTACCATCTGAAGGGGTATTTGGAAACACCTTTTCTCATTTACCCCCAAACAGTGTTTCCATTTACCACCGTCTAATCATATTTGGGGTATTTGGAAACACCCAATTTCCAGAATTTGAAATAAAATAACCCCAAAATTAACATTCACCACTTTGATAAACACCCTATGGATGCTCTTACATTCAACGGAAATCATACTTACTTCAAATCTATTGACACAACTGATTGTGTCAATAGATTTGAAGTAAGTATGATTTCCGTTGAATGTAAGAGCATCCATAGGGTCGTTTTTGGTTTTTGCTTTGTATGATTTCTGAGATAGGAAGCCACAGAATTTGTATCTTTCTTATCGTGTGGAATCTCCTGTTTCTCTAGATTTCTTGTGCTTTCGCTTATGTTGCCCTCACGAGAGCTAACAAGCTCGAAACCGGTCTGCAATTAGCGCCATTACCCAATGATTGATAATTCGGGTTTCTCCATTGTCTTATAAAACAAAATCACACGTATTACGTAAATCTAACCGTGTCAGAGCTTAAGCAGTACATCTCATAGTTATGTGTTAACCATTTTTTATTTATTTCATCATTAATTGGTTTTCGAAACTTCCACTTGTGTTTCAGCAAACTATATTTCCGTAAATAAATCCGAAGAATCAGCAAAGCTGAAGGACCCAAATTAAATAAATTAAAGTTCAAATTCCTATACTTACTCTCTACAACAAAGAGCTTTAAAACCACAAAGGCTTGCAAATTTGCGGAGGCAGCAATCGCCAGGGTATTATTACGTTACAACTTTAATGTAATCTTCTCTTGCAGTATAGTTTAATATGCTCGGATTGAAGTTGCTCTTGTGCCTTAAAGCAAAAAGCCTTTGTACACGATTCTCAAATGCAGTCTAACCTTTGACATTGTGAGAATATAATAATGCTTATCGAAGAGCAAATTAACTAGTGACTTACAATTCTCCTCCTGCGATGCAAAAATTTTATTATATTTATTGAATATATGTATATGCACTTTCTAATTAGAACCAAAACATAGTAGAAGTTATGCTCTACAAAAATCAGGTTTATTCGAAGTTCTATGTTCAGTGAAAGAATAATAAATAAATGAAGATAGTTCACACATAGAGGACTTGATATCAAAAGTATATTTAGATGAAAAAAAACGAATGAACAAGGCTGTGATGGACTGATTTTTAGTCATTAAGTGTTACTGTTAGGAATAGGATTTCTGTGAATAACCAAAAGACTTCAATTTCTTATTTCAATGAATTTACAATAATCCAGGTAATAAATTAATATACAAACTTTCATTAAAATGAAAAAACGTGCTTTCTCAATAATTTTCTTCGCTGACATCTTAACCTCCACTCTTCTCCCAAGTAATAATAATGCCATCTCTAAAAGAAATGCATCATAAGTTATAACAGGTGATAACCAATGACTTCACGAAGTAACGAGTCCATTGTCCATTGCAAAATTTGCTAATTAAACAAATTGGTAGATAGAAAAAAATTACACGTTAGAGATAGTAATTCACCGTAACAATTAACTTTATTAACAATACTAATTAAATTAAATTTCAGTTATCGGATCCTGCCTCTTCGCCTACGGCAGACGAGTGGGCGAACTGTGCCGCAGAGACTCGGACTGCGAATCGGGTCTCGTTTGTGCCGAATCCGATTCAGGACCAAACGCGCGAGTTTGCAGACCGCCAGTACACCAGGACAAACAATATTCGGAAACTTGCCACATGTCGAGCGAATGCGAAATATCCAGGGGATTGTGCTGTCAGTTGCAGAGACGTCATCGGCAAACTCCGAGAAAGGTAATGTTTGTTTTTAATATTCTTACTTTTTCAATTAATTTTCGTAACAAAAATTGTACAGAATTTCTTCTCAAATCTGTTAGCAATAAGTAAACGCAGAGTAGATAAGAAGCAGGAAGTGAAAGATGAAAATTTCAAAGTCAGAAACAGAAGAAAAATAATCACATATCAAAATGTACAGGGAAACTTCTGAGCTGACGTATTAGGAAAAACTTATTTCCTCAACTAGGTGGTAGACGCTTTTACTAGGTGGTAGACGCTTTTTACTCATTGGGCGTCGACCGGTGAGATACCACCATGCCAGAATTGAGTAGCGCTAAGTGGTATCACCACGTTCCGCTACTGCGCTGGCAGTCCGGTTCCAACAATGAGTAACAGATAGCATGATGGCGCCTCCAGGATCAAAATATTCCGGAGGTAAAATACCCGACCACTCGGATTTCCGGGCGTCGGGTGATCCTGGGGGTCCTTCATGCAAAGATGTAAAGAGAAGATCAAAAACTCAACTCAGAATTGATTTTAGCAATATAAGAGGAATAAGTACAAATATGAATTCAGTTCACCAACATTTTGAAGAACAAAGACCTGACATCCTTGTTCTCACTGAAACTAAAATCAGTTCTGCAACACCTATTGTGAACTATCTTTATCCCGGCTATGACCTACACCACCAATTTCGACATAATTTTGGGATCTGTGTGTACATTAAAAATGACCTTTCATGTCATCGAGAGGAGAAGCTAGAACCAGCGAACCTTGATATCATATGGCTAAAATTCACCTCAAAGTCATCGACCAAGTTTATCTGCTGCCTCTACCGACCGCCAAGTAACACCGATTACCAAAACTTTTTCGCGACATTATTCGAAAGCTGTGATAGTATACAGTCAAACTATCCACAGGCGGAAATTGTCTTTTTAGGCGATTTCAACGTCCACAATATACCCTGGCTGAAACACCACAACAAAACAGATAACGAAGGCAGAGAAGCAGAAGCTTTTGCCATAAGTTGTGGTCTAACGCAGCTTGTCGATGAACCTACCCGTATCTCAGAAAGGGGCGAATTTGCAGCGCTTTTAGACTTGTTCCTAACCACCAATCCTGACTCGTACACAATTCAAGTAGATGCTCCACTTGGTTCGTCCGATCATAAACTTATAATAACAAAGTACGAAATGCTCATCCCACCAAGCCAACAACCACTTCCTCGTAAAATGTGGCACTATAAATCGGCAAAATGGAATGACCTAAAACAGTTTTACCTGGATTTTCCATGGCAAGAGGTTTGCTTTAAAACAGCTGATCCCACTATTTGCTGTAATGAAATAACACAAGTAATCTTATAATAATAATAATAATAATAATAAATGACTTTTATTGTTGCATGTATACAAATTACAAAATTACAATTAATAAATTCATTCTAGACGTCTACTACTGGCGCAGTCTAGCTTTCTGATAGCTACTCTACTGAACCAGAAAGAGATATCCATATAGTTGAGTACTAAATTGATGGCGAAAGCCGTAATAGAAAGAAAAAAAAAAAAAAGTTCATGAAACAAAATTTTGGGCAAATGGTTCAAATAAAATTGAAAAGAAGTATGTACTAATTACAGTAAGAGCACATACTAATTTAAGCTGATATAACTTATTACACAACATAAATAGTACAATAAAACGAACAGGAAAAGCATTTAATTAAGTATTATTTTGCCTATTAAAAAGGTGCGACTTAAATTTAGTTTTAAAGTTTTCTGTACTTAAATTTAATAATTCTGTGGGAATTCTATTAAAATAATTAACGGCATTGTATGTGAAGCACCTCTGAAACATAGCACTCCGATGAAGTGGCATTGTTAATTTTTTTCTAGCCCTGATGTTAATGTCATGAACATCCTGGCGAAAAATTAAACGTTCTTTTAGGGACTGAGGAGAAGCGGGGTCATTGACAAGTTTCAAAATAAATGTGCAAAAATGCAAATTTCTACGGTCATCCATCTTTAACCAGTTGATACGCTTATAAAGGTGAGAAATATGGTCATACTTTCTAATATCGTACACCAAACGAAGACACGAGTTTTGCACTTTTTGAATACGCATTTTACTCTCAGAATTCAAACAAAATCCGTACAGGTAATCGCAATAATTAAAGTTAGATAGCACCATAGTCTCACACAGATTTTTTCTCAATTTTTGGTTTAAGATATGCCTGCTATTATATAAAAGCTTAAGAGAAAAATATGATTTTTGTATTAATTTTTTAACATGTTCCTCAAATCTTAACTTTGAGTCGAGTATTACTCCCAAATTTTTTGCGCATTCAACAATACTCAGTTGCGTATTGCTAATGTGTATATTAATATTGGTTTCAACTTCATCAACTCTGTTCTGGCTGCCAAAGATCATCATACAAGACTTGGCAGGATTTAGTTGTAAATTATGGCCTTTAGAGAGTTCACTTAGTATTTTTAGGTCGTTATTAATGCCGGCTTCAGCCTCCTTAATGTCTTCGCATTCAAAACTACAATACATCTGCGTATCGTCAGCGAATGCTTGAACATTGCAATAATTTAAAGATTTAAGAATATCCGACGTGTAGATTAAAAAGAGTAAAGGTCCTAAGACCGATCCTTGAGGTACCCCCGACAAAATCGCAGCATTTTCTGAGTACATATTATTATAAGAAATGGCCTGGAATCTATTAGATAAATAGGATTCAATAATTTGACACGATTTTACATCGAAACCGTAATATTTTAGTTTAGATACAAGCAATTTATGATTGATCGTGTCGAATGCCTTGCTGAAATCCAGGAGGACAAGAATCGTAGCCATTTTTTTATCACATGCTCGAATTATGTCATCCGTGACATTAGCCAAGGCCACAGAAGTTCCGAAACTTTTTCTAAACCCGCATTGAACTGGAGGTATAATGCTATTAATATTGACGTAGTCATACATTTGATTATAGAGAATTTTTTCAAAGATTTTTGATATTGATGGTAAGATGCTTATTATTCTTAAATCGTTAAAAGTTAAAGGGTTGGATATTTTGGGTAGAGGCCTTCCAATCGATAGTTTCCACTGGTCAGGAAAATAGTTTATTTCTATAGAACAGTTTATAATATGAGTTAAGTATATGTCAATATAAGGACTACAATACTTCAGCATGCGCGAAGTTATTTGGTCAACTCCCAATGCATTAGTCTTGATACCATTTAAGATTGTGTGTACCTCTTTTACTGTGGTTAAGCTGAAAGAAAACTTGAGATTATGTTTATAAGTATTGTTATTGTAATATTCAGTTCTATCTATACAGTTTGAAACATTTTGAAAGAATGTTGCAAAGAAATCATTAATAAGATTCACATCAGAAAGATTATTTGGTATATTTTGTTGATTACTGGTACATATATTAAAGCCTTTCAACGTTTTCCACAAGTCACGGGTATTTTTTTCTTGACACAAGGAGTCTAAGCATTTCTTTTTCTCCCTTCTTATCGCTGCTAAAGTTAAATTTCTTAATATTTTGTATTGGTCCCAATGTCTACCCAATCTGGACCTCCTAAACTTCCTCAAAGCATCGTCTCTTTGTTTCATAAAAATCTGGATATTAGGTGTTAACCATGGTGCCTTCGGCTTTGTAACACGGGCTTCCCTCAAGGGAGCATGCTTATCAAACAAAGTTATAATCAGGGTATTGAAAATATTGATTTTGTTGTCTATATTATTTTCGTATAATATATCATTCCATGGTAACTGTTGCATATCGCTAATAAAATTCGCATAATTAAAATTACTAAAACACCTGTATTTAATAATTTTTGGCATGTTAGGTACTTTTGTTAAATTTAAATTGCAATAAACAATTCGGTGATCAGAAATAATATCCGCTGGAATAACTCCACTTTTCAGCACTGCAGAGAGACTTGTAACAAAAATTGCATCAAGTAAACTAGCAGAGGTTTTTGATACTCTAGTCGGCTCCTGTATAATTTGAGAAAAATTATAATTTTCAAATAGGTTAGTAAGTGGGTTACTCAGATTAAGCAAATTTATGTTGAAATCCCCTAGACAGAAAATCTCATCAACGCTTGGGTAGAGACTGGAAAATATGTTATCAAAATCAGGAATTATACTACTAAAATTTATTGTAGGAGGCTTATAAAATACCCCAAAAGCATAATTTTTGTTTGAAATTTTCATTTTGAAAAATAGTGATTCTAAGTTCACATTTATGTTAAAGTTAAAATTGATTATATCAATGCTATATTGTGTTTTAATATATACCGCCACTCCTCCTCCTCTCCCTATCCTATCTCTCCTAAAAAACTGATAACCAGGAATCTGAAAAAACAATACATTATCACCCTCAGAGAGCCATGTCTCAGAAAGAAAAAATATGTCGAAATCCTCATGTAAAATTATGCCTTTCAGTTCGTAGAAGTTTGTAAATATAGATCTTACATTTAAATGTCCTATTCTCATTTAAAGTTTAAATGATTAAACCACACAATACCCTTGTTAAAAAAACGGCCCCCAAAATGCAAATCAGTCAAATAAATATCGGAGTTGAATGCACCCATATACAAAAAAAAAAAATTAAAAATTATAATAACAAACATTTTGCTAACAATTGAAGGCAAATTTAAATACTGATTTTATATAAAACTAATTCAGTGCAGTGTAGACAATTTATTATTTATCTAGAAAATGCGCAAGCATGTGAAATGGAAGGATGCCTCATTGAAATTATATCCTGTAATTGATTTTCAAATTGCTTGTTTGATACCCATTAAATTTGTTTCAATTCCCCACAACGAAGAAAAAAAAAAAATATATATATATATTCATAGAAAATAAACAAAATATGCCAAGATAATAAGAGAAGAGACTCACAGTTTATTTCAAATTATACTCCGGAGTTAGTCCGAGAATACTTTCTACAGTTCATTGATTTCAGTTTCCGTCGATATTCTGTGAACCCTTTCACCGACTTT